AAAAAGAAATCTATGTAGGAATTCATTAACTGAAACATTAACCCAACTGCAACAGATTGGGACTATGCAACAAAAGAGACTTACAATATCATGCTACAGCATAAAACCTTAATAAGTAATTTGATCTTGTCATAATGTTTGTAGGCTTTCAGACATGAGTGAATGTAACCAACATGCTACTACATAAATTCTCTAAGAAACTATCCATGAGCAAAGAGTGCTTCTGAATGGCTTTATGGCCTTCGGCTGTTGCACAGCAAATCCATCTGACAATTCTATGGCTCTATTAGCAGGACTAATGGCCTGTTCTGCACCATTAAAAAGGCAAATGTTGTTTGAGAAGGCCCATGAACATAAAGTCTGAAACATATAGATTTCTAACACCTTTTATTTTCTGCAGAAGGAAGTGTTTCACTGCCATATTATGCCATGATTAAACTGGGGTGTAATAGAATGCCTAGTTGTATTAAAGTATTTTATACAGCATCAAAATTATAAACTATCATTGGAAATGGACAATGCTAATTTCTCTAATTTAATGCAGTCTTCACATTACAAATTTAACATAACCTTAAGAAATTAAAAACCTTAAAGAAGTTTTACGTATCCATTTTATGTACAAGGATTACATAAAATTCCTATCAGTAACAAATCTTCTAACTTTCAAATACCTATATAAATTCAGCAAAGAAATGCATTATAGCCACCTCAAATTACAGCAGTTTTTAAACCACAGCAAAGAAACAGAGGAACAAGATTTATACTGAGATCAGCTTTTGCCTTTCAAGGTAAATCATCTCCAGGTCTGGATTTCTGAAGACAGTGATACTCCACAAGGCTGGATTCACCACATGACCAGCATTTGTAGCATTTTTTTCTCTTTTTCCTAATTTCTAAGCAGCTGATTTTAGGTGCCCTGATTAATCAGAGATGACTCTTTCCCTTCTCCCTGCAACCAGGTTCCTACTACAATGGAAATGTTCTGCTGCTATGGGCCTGTGGTGCCCAATGGGTATGGGGCATGTTATAACCCTCAGCCAGAGCATTTATTATTCTGCATCTCAAGCTTTAAGGAATGTAAGGAAACCTCCTCAGGCATGTTTGCAAAAGCTGTGGAAGAAAGTCTCCTAGCAATGAGAGATCTGTGCACCAAATGCACTTCTACTCCAGCAAAGCCACCTGCTAAACAAGATGCAGCCACCCAGCTGCAGAGTGACCACCAGCACTAACAGGCTGTGGGAATTGCTCTCCTGAATCCACTCCAGGAAGAAACACAACATAGCTGTTCAAAGGCAAGATAATACTAGTAATATAATAGTGTAGAACCAAAGTGTCATTTGTTTCTCATTGTTGCCAACATTTACAGCTCTGTGTACTAAATCTACCATTTCCTGCTTATGAGTCAGCAAAAAAGATTTGGTCTCACTGACTGAAATGAAGGAGGAAGTCATAAAAGTATGTGTTGTACTACCATTTCTAACCATAATTAACTTGTGCCATTTTATCACCTAAAAAATTGAGTCAGTTATATGCATATGACATAAATTACATACTAAGGAACACCAATTAATATCCCCTGCAAGTAGTTCTAAAATATTCACATCTACTACAAAGTTTGCATGTAAAGAAAAAAAGAAGTTTCCTCTATTGGGAATTTTCGAGAGTAAAACTGTAAATAATAGGCTGATGCCATTATATCCTGAAATTTGCATGAAGAGTATTTAATACCACCAGTCTATTTACTATATAACAAAAACTGATTATTTTTTAAAGAGTGGCCCCTGTGCATCTTCACAGAGTTTAGGAACATAACACAAGTGTTTGCATACTTCCCCCCAATTCAAAAATGCTGCAGAAATAATTTAGCTTTTATTCTGGTTTGCACTGGTCTCAAGCACAGTCCTGTTCTGAAAGCAGCATATTGGAGACATGATCCATCACAGAGAACTGGAAGAATTTTGTCCCTAATGAATTGACTTAATTATTTCTTTCTTTCAGTGAGCAAAATCCAGCCTGACAGAGTGGCAAAGCACAAAACATAAGTACTATTCAATCCTACTTAAGAGCTTTTCTGTTTGCATTGGAATTAATTTAGTCACTGTGACTGGCAGGAGGGTGAATACAACCACACAAAATCAAAGAGCAATAATTAGAATGAAGAGATAAATTTGCAATATCAGGAAGTCTTCAGCTTAGAGTTATAAATACCAGTACTGGTACTCATATCAGCTTTGGTCATCCCACTTGGAGGGATTTATATTTAATATTTTTAAATAGCAGATGTAGGGTATCATATTCTGCAATAGTCAGTAAATTCAAGCAGGAAAGTGGTAATATATAGTGTCTGGTAACTCCCATTTTATGTGAATGTTATCCTGAGGTTTTTCTAATTATCTTTTTCATTCCCTATAAATCCTTCCAGGGACTGATATTTCCAGTTACTTTCTTGTGAGGTCAAATATGCTGCCTTTCTTAGAGGTGTTCAGTATCATTGCTAGAACACAACTTACCCACTCACTGAAGACACTGAATTCCAAACTCCAGCACAGATCCCGTGCTGCACAAGCTGGAACACACTCTGAGGCCTGCCCAGGGATTGCTTCCTTGCCTGTGGGGAGTGATGCTCTCTCTTCCTTTGTAGAGCAAACAATCACATGTTTAAGCACTCTGAAGCCTAAAAGCAGAATGGATTTATTGCAATAACCTAGAGATGCAGATATGTTTCTGTTTAAGAGCTCTAGACACAAATTCAGGAGATTCTATATGTCCATGATTATTTTACTGCCTCTTTGGAGGTGCATACATGCACTTAAGCAGTCGGCTGGATAAAGGATATCCCCAACCCCATATATGAAAGCACAGTGGGCCTGATAATCAATTAGAAGTAGCTATGTTGAAGTAAATCAACTGTGATGATTTGCAGACACTAAGAGCTAGGCTAATTTTTTTAAAGTTATTATATTTCACTGAAAAACATGTATGTTTTATTACTCTGTGAGTTGTTGCTGAAATCAAAGATGAAATCTGGTTTTAGATTACATAAATAATATATAGCATAAAAGCTGCCCCAAAGTTATCATAGAATGGTTTAGGTTGGAAGGGATCTTAAAGATCATCTCGTTCCCACTTCCCTGCCATGGGCAGGGACACTTTCCACCAGATCAGGTTGCTCCAAGCCCCATCCAACCTGGCCTTGAAAACTTCCAGGGATGGGCCATCCACAATTTCTCTGGGCAATCTGCTCCAGTGCCTCACTGCTCTCACAGTAAAGAGCTTCTTCCAAACATCTAATCTAAGTTAAAAGTACATAGATTTAAAGTGCACCTTAAAAATGTAAGATCTAAAAGTGCATAAACAAAACCCAAGAAAACTATTGCTGAGACCAAAATTTTGCTTAAAGAATATATGGTTCAAAATAAAGCTTTAAATTGTTCCTATACGATAATTATGAAAATTTCTTGAGAATATTTCCAGTAATTTTTCATTGTATCATTTCACTACAAAAGCATTCTGCATTTCTAACATAAATGTAGCACTACATATTCTTTGTTGAATTATTTATTTAAAATTGTAGTCATATTTTGAGTGTATAAAAACACTGTGAATAGTTATTTGATAATTTATTAATTTTCTTATAATTAAAGATATACTTTATTTTGTAATCCTAGCTACATATGTACAGATAGTTATTTGCAAATATTACCTGTTTCTTGTTTTAATTTTGTCTGGAATCTTAACAGTAGCTCAGACACTGTGCTCAACACAGCCACTGAGAACTCAGGAAGCTTCTACACCCACACCTGATACTTTATATCAATTTATCAGTAAGAGCCCCTTAGTTGTCTACAGCTGCTGTAACAGATGTTTTGCATTCTCCAGCTCTGGAAACTGCTGGTGATGGAAAATACTGACAATATATTTTTACTTGAGGACCAGTGATCATACTTCCTATTTATTTGGCTAACCATTCTGTACTTGTGTCTTACTAATCTGGTTTTAGTGTTCAGCCTAAGTATCTGAAAGGAGCAGCTTTGATGGCCTCAGTCCCTGCAGAGAAGCCTTTTGTGTACATGGTCTACCTTTGCCACTACCTGTGCTAAAAGCACTATCTGCAAGGTACCTGACTTTGTGCAGGAAGCTTCAGGCTCAGTTCAGGTCTGTTTAAGTTGGAAGCTTCTGGTTAAATTACAGATGGATAAAAATTCACAGGCATTACAAACTTCTCTGACAGCAGGAGCTTCACAAGGGACTGTAGTGCTTCTCAGTTAAGACAATTCCCTACATCTGTGTGGTGTGATCTCATGCTGTATCTATCAAGGATTTCAGGAAATAGGTTTTCTTAAGTTCTGATTTAAAATTATTTATGTTATGCAGATGAAGTTATTTTATGAAGTTTAAAAATACACACCTTTATGCACTTATGGAAACCAAACATATTTCTAACATGTTTCCAACCACAATACTGTGGAATAGGTTGTTCAGTATAAAAAGAGAGAAAATTTTGATTGACAAACTAGGTGTAATTACATTAATGTAACAAGTGACTATGATTTAATAAGCCTCTTGGAAGGACCCGAGGTACACAACCCCCGGCAAGAGAACTTTCAGAAGGTAATTGTTCCACTCTCCCCGTGGGTGTACACCAATGTATACGTAGTGCTGGGGTGCAGAAATTAAAAAGGAAAATTTTTAATGAAATTCCGTGTTCACAGTGATCAAAAGTAAAAGACGTTCGATTTCAAAACAGGGGTGTTTCAAGGGTGTAAGAGCCCTACCTCACTCCTTTGACAGGAGTGCTGCCAGAGCCCCTGTGCCACGGGTAATTTGGCAGAACACGGCTGTGACAACACAGCGTGAGTTGCAGAAGACAGAGAAATATTTTAGTGATACTTTTATTTTTATAAAAAAAGTATATATTTATGACAAATGTAAATGTGTATTTATAGCACATGCTGTTCCTGTTATGTTTTGTCCCTACTGAAATATATTTATGTGTCTATATGTACGCCCTGAAGTGTACGCTGGTAACGCGCATTCAGCTCGTTCGCGGACGGAGCCCCGCACCGCAAATAAAAGCTATCAGAGGAAAGACCTTGTCGCCTTTTTGTGCCTTCAGCCCCGGCCCCACGAAGCCTCAGGGGGAGGGAGCCGGAGCCGGAGCCGGGACTGCACCGCCCGCGGCGCCCGTGCCCCGTCCCGCCCGGCGGGGCTGCGGGGGATCCGGGATCTCCGCCCGGCCCCGGCCTGCCCTGCCCTGCCGGGGAGGCGGCGCGGGCTCCTGACGTGCGGTCGGGCAGCATCGCGTGTCGGGAGGGACTCACAAGGAGCAGCGGCTCCTGGCCCTGCACAGAACACCCCCAGCCCTCCCAGCATTTTACAAATTACCTCCCAATAATTTACAATTTACATGTGCCCGAGAGCGTTGTCCAAACGCTTCCTCAGCTCTGCCAGGCTGCTGCTATGACCACTGCTCTGGGGAGACTGTTGCAGTGCCCAGCCACCCTCTGGTTGAAGAGCCTTTTCCTGATACCCAGTTTCAGTCTCCTCAGGGCAGCTTCAGGCCGTTCCCCCGGGTGCCTGCTCAGATTCCCCGTGGCCGCTCCGTACCGGAGGCTCTCGGTGTTCCAAAGCTGGCAGGCTGGAAGGGGCTCCAGCAGCTGTGCCACGTGTGAGACAGGGGAAAGGGCTGCTGCTCAAACACGCCTCAGAAAGCACAAACACCTCCATCTTTTGTGTTTGCTAGAATAAGCTTGCATTACAGCGTGCATATATTTTCCAGTTACACAAACCTCATTAAAACACAGACTGAAATAAACACATAAACCAATGATGGAAACATTTAAACCCAAATGTAGTTGTAAAGTGAAGTACTTGTGAGTAGTTACATTGCTGCTCACAGCTCAGCTGTTATTTCAGAAGCCAGCACAAGGCAGGCACAGCAGGTACCCCCAGGCTGGGGTGCCACGGTTTGGAGCAGAGCTGCTCCGATCGATCTCCCACATGCACAGGAGAGGGACCGAGCCAGCTGTGCGGCTCGGGGCACCGCTGCAGGGCTGGAAATGGCTCCACGGCAGCTCTGACACAAGAGCAGTGCCTGGGGCTTTACAGAGTTTGCAGGTGCTGCAGAATTTCACTACCCATACCTAAAGTTGCAGTGATGGATAGCACACAGAGAAGCATTGTAGATATTTTTTTTTCATTCATCTCATTGAGGACTGGTGTAGCCTATTTCCTGTTTATGAGGGAATGAGCAACGCTTTTCCTCTGCTCCAATGCTCTCCAGCTGTAATAATAACCATTTCTGCCTAGCAAAATCCATCTAAGGCTTCAAGACAAATCAAATTGCATGCATGTGATCTCAAATATTCCAATAAGTACAGTTTTGTTAATTTAAAAGCTTTAGATAATATAGAAGTACCCCAAAAAAGAGAAAATAATAAACTAAGTATCAGACAAATCCCTATTCGCTTGACACTGAAAATTTACAAAAAGCATTAGTCAATGCAATAAGTGGGATACTAGCAACTCATTCCAGTTTTTCTCACTGGGGTTGGTAGATCATTGCAATGTACCTGTCATGGCCCTAACCTGGGAAAACTAAACAGGTGGGCTTTTAATTGAGAGCCCACAGTATAGAGATGTCATCTCCCTCACCCATTTTATAAGTGTGAATTAATTGTCTGAGATTACCATCAAAGCTTCCTAGAAAGCAGTGAGAGCTGTCTGATGAGAATGGCAAAACAGCAGCAGAAGCTGAAAGCATGATACTTTATGAGCACTCTTTCCACAGCCACTTCTGTTACTTTTTCAGTAAGCTGAATTTACATACTGCAAACAGCCCTCACAGGTGGATGCAGTTAGGTTAAATGTTTGAGAAATGCTGACCCTTGCAAGTCACACAGCTACAGTGGACTAGGACAGAGAAAACACCTCCACCTGCCAGAATAACTGAGGTGTCAGTACAGCCTTAACACAGCTGATAGAAACCTGGAAAGGCGAGACCCTGAATGTTTGACTATACAGGAATTTGCTTCTGCCTTGTAAAACAACTCAATAGAAAGTGATGAATTAAAACAAATTCAAATCTGGGGAGTGCCCAGGTAAGTACTTGGCATTTCTGTGTTCTTATTTCCCCAGTTCTGATTAATTTAACATTATACAATGTACCATAATAGATCTGAAAAGCACCTAATTCAACTAAAAAAAATACGTGGATCAAGATTTTATTTTGTCCATGCTGATTTGATTCTCAGCTTCACAAAAATCTCAAGTGTTTAATATCCTGAGAAATTACTCTTTCAGTAGAAGAAAGGTGAATTATGCATCAATGAACAATTGGGTTATCAAGGTTGTTCACTTAATGTTCCAGCTGTTCTATAACACCATCTTAATGCTAACTGGAGAATTCTTTCAATTTAGTCTCATTCTGTGGTACTTACAAATAAATGCATTTTGTTTCTTACAGCTGCTCTGCCAGTTAATAGCAAATACAAATACAAAATTAATTTCTTGCCTTTTCCCCTAGACCTAGAAATGACAGAGGCTGGAGGCTTCATTCAAAGGAGATCCATTAATGTAATAATAGTGAAGATGGAGATTAAAGCTGATAGGCTTTGTGGGGAGTTCTGTACAGCACTTAACTACATTAACACTGGGTTTTTCTCATCCTCATAAGTGCTAGAACTTAGATATACTCAAAATTCACTGGGAACCAAGCAAATACAGTACTGGCCACTGCTTCTTTGCCCTTTTCTGGTTGACCTGAAGGCAGAAGGACATCACCTTATTCTGGAAGTGCTAACAAACTGGAATGCTGTAGGTCTGGTGATTGACGGGGATATTGTATTTCATTGCAACATCTATGGCTTGGATTTTGGTAACTCCTGAATTTTATTATTTGCAGTTTCTCCAAAAGCACCTGCATTTTGAAATTAGCACTTCTTAAGGCATAAACCGTCCAGGTTCTATCAAGGTTTACACTTTTAAGCTCTGTACTGCTTTATATTCAAGGCAGTTTGAAAGGCACAGTCAGGAAGAGAGAATGGCTTGGGAGTTAAGGCCATGCTTGGGAGAGCCCTGTCTGGGGCCATCCCACATGCACCAGCCCACAGCCACAAGAAAACTGCTAGGTTTTGGTCCACAGAGGTATCAGGGCTTCCCTCTGCTTTCAAAACAGGAATTTTTATTTTTTGCTTGAGCTGAGTCCATCTCAGATTACAGAATTTACCACAGCAGAGCCAAACTGGGTCCAAGTGCTGTGAGGGAAAGCACAAAGGGCTATATGTGTTGGGGTAAGAAGTAGAAATGTAAAAGGTAAAAAATATATGCAAGTAAATGTATTTAAGTTGTACTTTTCTCCTTTAGGAGGTGATGGCAAGTTAGATCCACTTTGTGAAGAAGCCAGAAAAGCAGTGTTAAATGCTTAACAATTTACAGAGACACTTCCCCTTTAATCTTGGGTTTCTGTCAGGCAGTTTACTTGCATCACAAAGATTTGTTCTTTGCAGTTCTAGGTCTCTTAATGAAGGGGATAATCTTGTTACACCCCCATGTCAAACAAATAAGAATAGAACACCTTTTCCAGAAACAGTTGTATGTTACAACCCTGAATATTGCAAATTCAATTGACTTGTATGGCATTTTAACACTTTGAATTAAATCAAAAGAAGACTGAAACTCTGGATATCATTAATTCTTTCAACTTTATACAGTTTCTTATGTCAAAGATACTTTCAAAGTCATTAATAGCTGCTAATACTTCTTTTTACAGTTATACTGGTTGAGTTCAGTTCTTCTCTTGGCCACAAATATCTCAGAGAACATTTGTGCATCACTAGGGAGCCCAAAAGGAGAGAGAAAGAAATTGGCATACCCATAAGGACAGGATTAAAACTGACTGGGTATTATCACAGCTGATATTCCATGTACCTCAGAAGTAACTAGAGTATGAAGCTTCTTTTTTGCTCCTTATTTGTCAACAAACATTCAACTTCAATTTTATTTTAAAAACAATTTACATTTAGGTGAGTTCAGCAGTGTGAAAATAATCATATGCCAGAATGCTGGTGCCCTGAGGAATACTCACTTTGGCCCATGATTAGTTATGAAAGAAGGAATTGGTTAATCTTTGCATCCCAACAAAGGGGGTTGAGCCAAGAAACATAAGGATTTGCTGAGCCCAAAGCTGCAGTTTCCAGCAGGGCTGCAGGAGAGCAGGCTGCCCAGCAAAAAACCAAAACCCAAAGCAAACCTGTCACTGAGTATCTTCTACCAGCTGGAATCTGCAAGGAGATAGCAAACATTACATTTACAGTAACACTGATCCAGCACTAAAGTGTGTCAAAATAACACTATCACTATGTCCAGGTGCAGTCCCCTTCCCTCCAGGTGACAGAGGCACTAAACCAATATCCTTTAATAAGAAAAACAATACTCATAGTTAAAGCTGAGCAAAGCAGGAATTGTATTGTTCCTTTAGAAGACTGAAACATTTTTGCTTTCTACCACTCTGACATAACAAGATTAGAAAGTGGGAACATCCACTCTGAGCTGGATTGAAAAAATCAATACAGTAAAGCTTGGCACAGCTGGCCAGGGGCACTTTTTGCAGGAAGCATTCACACACAGAGCAAACTGGGTTTGCTCACCTGCCCTGGGCAGAGGGAGTTTGTTCACACTTTGCTGTCACTCCGAGCCTCCCTGCCCCTACTGAGCAGATTGTCACACCTTGCTGTCACCCCGAGCCTCCCTGCCACTACTGAGCAGATTGTCCTGCCCACAAAGCAGCTCCAGTGCAGCTCTCAGCAGAGGCAGGGCTTTCTCAAACACACCTACCACATTCATCACTGGGACACCAACAAATGACTTTCTGCTCTGGCAGTAAGTTGTTTATTGGCCTCTTAGGTAAATGCAAATTAATTAGACTAAAATAGTTTAAATAATGCTAGTTCTGGGCAGGATTTACTCCCAAAAATAGCAGAATAAACTCCCCAGATCTCTTGAGCATGGAAAGCTGTGAACATGACTGGAAACACAGCAAGCAGATGAGCTCACTACTGTGACTAGTCTTGGGCTAGATTTGTTGGTTTGTTATTTTGTTTGTTGGGTGGGTTAATTTTGCTGTATTTGGTGCTCTCTTTAACATCACTCTGAGGACATTTCTGACATACCTCCAAGTCAGAATAACAGCAGTTTTGTAGGGAGATATTAGGCCTTAATAAATCAACATGTTTAGCTGGAGTAAATTCAAACAAGCTTAGAGAAACACAAAGCTGCAGGTTTGAAACAGCAAGCTTACAAGACAAGCATGGGTTGAGAACAGAGGCTCTGACTTTGCTTTAGAGTAATATTATGACCAAAATGAGAGAGTGATGTAAAAAATCAGCTGCACCTAAAAGAGATCTCATAGCTCCACATAGAGGTCTCAGGCCCCCTTACAGTGTTTTTGTCACAGAAGGAAGAAATAAACACAAATTTGCAGCAGCCCTTTCAGTCTGGTACCTGCCCCTAGACAATACCTGCAGTCAGTTGCCACAGCACTAGCAGGCAGCTGGATATTGAAAGGCACTACAGCAGCCACATGGACAAAGGCATGTCATTTTTTTATAATGAAATATCCACTTTCCTCCCCTCACTTTTTTCCTCATTTGTAAGGGGATTATCTGCCCTGTGGATAATCATGGCCATTCAAAACTGAATTTAGCCTCCAAGTCTTCTCTACAGCAACTTCCAGCCAGACTATTGTGACAAAGTCAAATCAGGAAGAAGAAAGCAGCCGCAGCAAATTATTCCAGTAGTAACACCAACTAAATTGCTGTGCAGCTTTTGTGGTTTGACTAATTGTCTCATTAAGGCACATTTCTGATCACTGAAATGGATCTCAAGTATTATTAATCACTGAAAAAACAGTACCACTAAGAGCCTCTCTGCCTCCTATCCCTGGCACTCTTTGCAATGGAAAAGGCTCACAGACTCCTGTTGATTGGAGCCCCACTGCTGCACAGTTGGCAGTCAAACAGTACTAATGGCACAATAACCCAATAGAACTAAAATAGTTATGCCTTTCACAGTAACAATCTCTTATAACGTGATTAAGCTCCATCATGTGCATTTCCTTGTGTTTTGCAAATGGCTCCAAAAAATCTGACAGTTTTTCCAGTAACTTCTCCAAAAGAAGAGGGGAAAAATATATAAAATTCATTAGCTATCATGAAACAAATTTTAAAAACTCAATACATTTTAGAATAATATGAAAACAACTGCAGCAAGCACAGGCTGTGGCACCCAGTCCACTCCCCCTTGCAGAACACACCTCCACAGTCTGGCCTTGGCTCAGTTATTTGCAGGCACTTCAGTGAACCTCATTTAGGGGCTGGCTTGCCCTGGGCCAGCTCTGTAACTGATGGAGACAGACACCCCCACACTGCAGCTCAGATCTCTGTGTGCAGACTGTAGCAGCTCTGGGCTCCTAATCCAGGTACTTCACTGGTGTTTGGTTTGAAACAATATTGGGAAAGATTGAGTATAAGAAGCCCATTTAAAAAAGAACAAACTGGCATTATCCAAGACACCACTGATGGGCTCTCTTCATTCCCAGCAAACAGGAGGGCTTTGCTCTTGGCCATCACTCCCAGTGGCAGCACGAGCCATTCACTGCAACAGGACAGTTCCCCTTACCAGGGGAGGCCTTTAGGTGTTTATCCCATACATTATCATATTAAAGACAGCAGACCCTAAATTTCCAAGCAGCTGATTTTCAGAAGCCTAATGCAAAAGTGGCACAGTTATTGCTGCAAGATATCCAGACTTTCATGGTTGCCAATTTGATCAAGCAGAAGAAAAGACCTGCAAAGGTCAGGAAGCTCCTCTGTGGAGATGGAAGTGGAACATGGGAAGGAATTACAAAGGTAATCCTCAGTACAGGCTCCTTCAGGTGAGAGACAAGATGCATCACTAATTTAAAATTTATTTGGAATGCAGCCATTGCTTGCTACAGCTCTCAGTTTTGATCAGATTTGCAAGGCAGCTTTAAGAAAAGACAGGGTTGTTCTGCACCAACACACAGGCACTTTTCAGGCACATCAATATTTGCTCACATATAGGTGAATATGCAAATGTGCCCAGCAATGACCCACCGAGGCTGTATGAAGTACAGAAACATCACAAACAAGTGGGCTTTGTTGTAGGCTTTGGAATTAATTCTGGGGAACAGAACCTGGCTGTGGACATCTCCTTCCCTTTGGGCTTTGTTACAGAGACAGGTACCACAGAGTTGAAATCTGCATAAATCTGTGGGGCTCCTAAGCTGTGCAATATTATGCTCATTATGAGAAATATTATTTTACTGATGAGTCTAATGAGGGTCCTCAGGGTTGTGGTAAATGAAAATGAAATAAAAATGGAAGTAACAAAAATAATCACAATTCATGTAGCATGTCCCTAATTTTTTAATGTACATAAATATCAGAACAGTTATGCTGAAAAGAAGGAAAAATATTCTTTTATTTTTTCCTGGCAGTCCCTTCAGAAGCTATTTATGAGCAGTCATAAACTGACATGCACACTCAGATATATTTTCCTGAAGCCTGTAGAGTTTTGTCTTAGCAAAAGCTTCAGAATATGTGTGTGTAAATAAATTAAAGCCTGTCTGGTTTATAATGAGAAGGGTGTATTGTGGTATAAATATTGCAGAGCACATTAAATAAACATGGTCACATATGACCAGGTATCTATGAAATGAGCACATCACAGGAGAAGTTAATTATCTGAGAGTGTAACTAGGAGCCGTTTACAATCACTGGAGATTAAGTTGCTTTATTTCTGTTTATCTTTCCTTCTGAATAGGCAGTAGGTCATTGCAATGAAGAGTCCCTGAGCAACACAGAGCTTCAGCTCTTCATCAGCTCTAAGATGACAGTGTTGTCAGCACCAGTTTGGAGTCAGGATAAGCCAAAAATTTTTTTCAATATGATTTTGTGCAAAATGGGTTGGCACAAACCAATATTTTAAGATGTAAAAGTGCAAAATACTTACAAATACCTTATGGTATGTTCAGGGGTAAGAGGAAAACTTTGATGCTAAGTATTTGTCTCGCATACTGCAGCCTAAAAAAGTATATAAAGACTTTTTCAAAACAGATTTTTAGTGTCAGAGACTAGCATCCTGAGAGTAACATACAACTTTACCATAGTAATAAGGTTTTTCTAGACTTCACAAGTTATTGTGTTTCAGTCCATATGAAAAAAACATCAGTGTTGATGGAATTTGATTTTGCTTGGGTTGTGGAACTCACAAAGAAAGCTGTTCACTGTTCATCCTATACAAAATAACCAACATTGCAAACATGGACTAATTAAGGATATGTTTGGGCAAACTGCTGTAGCACAAAGAACAACTGATGAAGGGGGATTTAATCACATACAATTAT